CTGTCCTTCTCCGCCCGAGGACGCTCGGGGTGCCCGCCGAGACCGTGGGCTTCGACGATGCAGTCCGCTGGGATGCGCCCGAGCTGCAGCGGGTGGCGCGAGGTGCTTCCGGGAGTGGCGCGAGGCGGGCGAGACGGCCAGGCGCGGGCCCTTGGGCTCGGCGACCCGGCCCGAGAGATCCGCCGCGCGGCGGGGGGCCCTATACGTCGAGGACCTGGCGCCCTACTCCACGAGTCGTGCGGGGGCGTCGTGGGATGCCGCGGTCGGGCGCAGGTCCCTGAGCGATGTGCAGAAGAGAGGGCGCTCGAGGTCGCGCAGGAGCGTGACCCGCAGCGAGAAGGCTGGTCAGGTCTCCAAGGGCGTCCTCAAGCTGCGGCCAGACGCGCCGCGAAGTCCAGAGGCAAATCCAGAGCCGGTGTCCAACGGAGCCGCCCAAGGCCCGTGGTGGTGCTGGGTCTCTTTGCGGGAATCGCCCGCGCGTCCAATGCTTTCGCGGAGATGGGACACAGAGCGGAGACCTGCGATAGCAAAGATGGGCCTGCCTTTGACGTTTGTTGATAAACGCGTTCTTTGCAGGCTGCTTTGGAAGATCCGTCAGCATTATTTCGATTGTTTGATGATGGCACCACCCTGCACGACCTTCAGCATTGCTTGTCGCCCAGCCTTGCGTTCCGCCAGCTCCCCGCGGGGCTTGCCTGAGGCTGCAGGCCACCCTCAGCTTGCGCAAGCGAAGTTAGTGCTGCGAGCTGCGCTGAGAATCATGCGTCTCTGCTGGTCTCGGAAGGTCGCTTTCGCGTTGGATAACTCGCAGAGCAGCCTGCTCTGGAATCTGCCAGAGCTTATCCTCTTCACGTCTGATAGGACTAGCAGTATGATGACTACCGATATGTGCCAGTGGGAACCCCCTTGGAAGAAACCCACCGCCATCTGGTTCGCTTTCTTCGACACATCCATGGTCCACACTGGAGCCCGCCGTTGTCATCGCCGAGGTTGTATTTCCTGGAGAACGCTGATCATTCAAGCGTATCCCAGAAAGCTCGCTCACTTCCTGGCCTCGACTTTCAACGATCATCGTCGATGCGTTCGCTTACGCAGGTCACTTAACATGGGTTTGGGTGGAGCTGGCCAGCCTTGAGATTGTTCGTTGCCGTCTCTCGCCTCGGCCCTTTTTGGCCCAGTGCTAGTCGTCGCTCAACAGAAGGATTCTCCGCCCCAACCAGAAAATGGTATCAGGTTTGCGCGAGCGCGTGAATGATTGGATTTCCTGGCTAGACTGGCACAACAACATGTTTTCGAACATCGTGCGGCCGAGACGCTCGTCCTGCGGCCGGGACGCAGGCCAATGTTGAGGCCGAGGCGCTCGTCGAGGGCGGTCCCCCTCCTTCCTGTCCTCCGTCGTCTTCTTCCTCCGCCTCTGCCCCTCCTCCTTGTGCTGATGAGAGCATGACAGAGTGTGGGTGCCGGAACTGATTTTCGGCGTGGGGGGGCAGGATTTGTCCGCCCGTGCGCGTTCTCATAATCACCAGGCAATTAGCGTCTCCTTCGTGTGATCTTGCCCTTGCCCTGGCCCTGCTCGGTGAGCCTCTGCCCGAGTGGATTCGGATAGTGGCCACCCGCCCTGAGGTCTGCGAGACAGGACTCGCCCCCTCGGGTCTCCTGTCCACCCGTGGCTCTTCGCCTCTCTGGCAGGCGTTCGCCGTCGGCGCTGCAGTCCATTCGGATTGGTGCCGCACCGTTCGTCCTGCGTGGTGGAGCCTTGTTTCACAGAGTTTCGGCCGTCAGTCGTCGTGCATGTTTGCTCGGGCCGACCAGGGGCCCCGGGGTGCAGCCGAGATGCTCGTCGAGGGCGTTTCTCCTGCCTCTCCCCCCTACCCCCTCTGCCGCCTCCTCCCCCTCTCCGCTTCTCCTTCTCTGGGATGTCCGGGGTGCCAGGTCGCCATGGCTTTCAGTTGGCGCTCTGGTGCCGCCTGCACGGCCAGGGCGTGCTGGCGGATGTCTTCGCTGCCCGGGACTCGTGGCCGCTCCCTTCTCGGGAGCCGCTGCGGGCCCGCGCTCCCACGTCTGCCCATGACGTCCGCTCGGCGAGAGCTGCTATAGCCACTGGTGTGCATAGATTGCCCAGGAAGTGTTTCGCTCTCTCTGGTATCCAATCGCATCCCACACTTGCGTCGGTACGTTCCTGTTTGTCCCTTCCCCCTCTCTCTCTCTCTTCTCCTCCCCCCCCTCCCCCTCCTCCCTTTGAGGTGCCTTCGAGTGGCGCAGGAGCGCCCTGCCCATTCTGAGATTTCGGTGACACGGACGCGGAAATCTGCACTCCAACTCCTTGCGCGAGAGTGCCTCAGGCTGAGCTGCCCGCGCAGTGCCAGCATGTATGTTTTTCAAGTTTCTGGTTTGGCTGCCGCCTCCTAGTCCAGGGTGAGGTTCCCTAAACAGCTGCTGTCTCTCTGCCTTCTTGCTGTTTGGTTCTCTTCGTCGTCGCACGAACGGGTGGGCCTGGCCGCCACTCTGCACTGCTCTGGACAGGGGTCCCGACCACCTTCTCTAGGCTTGCTTGGTGGAGTCATCGTCCCATCACTTGGGAAGCTGGCAGATTTCATCATCTGGCGCTTTTCTCTGGAAAGGAACAACGAGTCATCGACCATCGTCTGTTGACATGGTTGCTCGAGCTCGTTCTGCACCCAGCGTGCGTCCCCCTACAGCCCCCAGTTTTTTTTTTATTCTCTCTCTCTCTCTCTCTCTCTCTTCTCCTGGCTTCGCTGGTTCAGCTTCTTCAACCGTCCAGCTCCCCACGAGTGCGGGTGGAGCTGGCCAGCCGTGAGTGTTCGTTGCCGTCTCTCGCCTCGGCCCTTTTCGGCCGCCCAGTGCTAGCCGTCGCCGAACAGAAGGATCCCCTGCCCCAGCCAGAAAATATATCATTTATGGTTAGCACTTCAGGCAACAGCAGCAAACAGCAGCAACCACAACAGCAACAATCCCAATCCGCACCGCAGAACCTCACTTTGGCCACGCGCCCAGGAACAACGAATGACCGTTCGGCCCCCTCACTCTTGCACATATGTATACAGACATACATCCATACATACATCCATACATACATGCATGCATGTATGCATACATACACATGCGTGTATGTACATCTATACAGGAGGAGCAGGACATGGGACATAAGGAAACGGAGGAGAAGGATGAGGAAACGCAGGATGAAGAGGAGGAGGAGGAGGACGAAGAGGAGTGAAAATGGAGTAACGAGGAGGGAAATCATGAGCAGAAGCCGGAGCGCAGGGGAGGAGGACAAGGAGGAGGAGGAGGAGGAGGAGGAGGAGGAGGAGGAGGAGGACGACTACGAGGGGGGGGCGGGGGAGGGGGCCGAGGAATGGAGACTCTGCAGGGTCCACGTGCAGCGGAGTGCTTCGCCACGTCGCCGATCAGACGAGCAGAAGAGAGAGCCGCAAACCGCGCCGCAGATGTGGCTAGAACCCAAGCGCGCGACGCGCGCGCGTGGGTTTTAGTATATCTCTATATATATATATACATAGTTGTGTATATATATATATATATATATATATATATATAATATATATATATATATATATATATATATATAATATATTAGATAGATACATATATACATATCCTCCTCCTCCTCGTCCTTCCTCCTCCTCCTCCTCCTCCTCCTCCTTCTCCTCGTCCTCCTCCGTCTTCCTCCTCTCCTCCTCCTCCTCCTCCTCCTCCTCCTCCTCCTCCTCCTCCTTCCTCCCCGTCCTCGTCCTCGTCCTTCCTCCTCCTCCTCCTCCTCCTCCTCCTCCTCCTCCTCCTCCTCCTCCTCCTCCTCCTCCTCCTCCTCCTCCTCCTCCTCCTCCCCTCGTCCTCGTCCGTCCCCAGCCGCTTTGCCTCAGGCCCCCCTGGGGGCCCCAGGCGATGGCTCGCCGCCGGGGCGCGCCCTCGGCAGGGCGCCGCCCCGCCGCCCTCGCCGCCGCCGCCGCGGCAGCCCTGGCGCGCGCGGGGGCCGGGGAGCTCGAGGAGCAGGAGGGAACCAACACACACACACGGACACAATGCATCCCCAGAGATCCAACGTATTGAAAAAATCAAGGCGCAGGTTTTTCGCATTCTTCGGCCTCGAGGGGCCCTCGCCGGGCCCGGGACCGTCAAAAAACGACTCAGGATGAAAAACCAGTCCTGGGGAATGGGTCGAGACTTCTGGGGACCCCGTATTGAACAAATCACGACATCGGATCTCTGGGGATTCCCCAAAGAATATGGGAACATATGGGAAGTGGGTGGAAGACAGCAAACCAGAAAAAATGTAGGACTCCTGTTCTTGGTGTGTATTGATTTGTGTGTGTCCCAGGGCCCCTTCAGAGGAACCCAGCACGGCGTGGGCCGGCGCCTTCGGCTCGCCCGGGCGTCGGGCCTTGCGCTCGCCCCTGCTGGACTGCGACGCCGAGCCCGCCTGGGCGGAGTTCCGGGTCAACGTTAGCGTGCTGGCCGCGGCGCCCGGCGCCCGCGCGCGCGTGGCGCTGCTCGAAGGCCTCGTGGGGCCGGCCGTCGGGCTGGTGGAGCGCTGGCGGGTGGCGCAGGTTCGGCTACGCGCGAGAGCAGGGAAGCGAAAGACTCTCGAGTTCGCCGGAGCTGGGGTTTGCGGGCGCACTGTTTGATGAGCCGTCTGGGGTTGTGACGGTCCAGTGCTCGTGGGATGTTTGCAGCGGGAGGTCGCGTCAGATTTCAGAATGGATCTCGCCATTTTCCTGACGGTCTCGTTAGGCCAACCCGAGTCCCCCGAACCCGAGTCTTATGCTCCCCGATAAGCCCTTCGCCGGAGTGTCCTTTGGGCCCACAGGGGTGCCCCCCAGCACTGTCTTGCGCGCTCAGGGTCGGCCCCTCCGCGGCCCCCTGGAGCCGCGCACCAGAGGTCACTCCTGCTCCGGGCCGCTCCTGCGCGCAGTCCGCAGGTGCACGAGTTTGAGTCTGTGCACCAGGTTGCGCTGGACGAGGCCCTGATGCCGGGCGCGGGCGAGGCGAGTCAGAGGAGGGCCCAGCAGCTTTGTGTCCTGGGGGCCGCCAGCGCCCTCTACGTGCTGGCCTGGGCGGCCGCCTCGGGCATCTTCCAGAGCGACCAGGCGCCTTCGTTCGACGTCGAGCGGTTCCTGCGCGGCGCGAACCGGCAGCTGCGAATGAATGACCTGGACATGCTGCACGACTCCTCCTGGCCGTGGAGCTCGTGGGACATCCTGCGCAACCTCGCCCGGGCGAGGTCCGGCAGGAGCTTCCTGAGCCAGCCTGCCAGGATCGGCTGCTGCTTCGGCCGGGAGGCGCGCCAGCTGAGCATCCCCGCGAGCTGGCCGCCGGTGGGCGCCGGCCAGGCCGCGGCGGAGGCGGCGTCGCGGCTGGCGCCAGGGCCAGCGGTGTTCTGGACCTCCATGCACTTCGTAGCCTTCCTGGACCCGCTGGCGGTGCTAGGGGCTTGCATGCGAACCCATACCCCTACCCCCCACGATTTCTGAGGGGGAGGGTGGGGTAGGGTTCGCATGCAGCCCCCTAGGTGCTGCGGGAGGCTCCGACGTGGCTGGGCCAGCCCGTGACCATCAAGAGCCACTGCCTCACCAGCCCCACGTACTGCGGCTTCGCGCCCGGCAGCGCCGGCGGCCTCTGCTCCTCGGACGAGCGCTTCCGGCGCCTCATGCACTACGAGCAGCTGGACAAGCACGTCGGGCGGCAGTGGGGTGGCGTGCAGGCCTTCAACGAGGACCGGTTCGAGGAAGCGCGGCGGCAGTTCCGCGCCGAGCTCTGGCCAGAGCTGCGCAGGGAGGGCGTGGCGCTCTTCATGTGCGGGCACCCGCTGTTCTGGTGCCGCCTCTTCGAGGGCCTGGGCGACGCTGGGGTGCTGGGCCTCATCGACGAGCCCCACACGCTGTTCCTCCCGAGCTCGC